GTAATTGCTGCTGGGTAACACTTTTCTTGAAACCAGAGCACATTTTTTGGTACCTGAAGGAGACACTTATTATAACCAGTATACACCCTATGCACTGTGGGGACAATAACGTAGCATATAATAAGCCTCAGTGGACAGTTGAGGGGAAACTGTGACTTAAGATTCTGTTGTCCGTTAGGAGCTGTATTCATTCATGTGGGTTTTATTAGGAGTGTGCAAGAAGTATGCACTGTATTTGTATCTCAAACAAAACACAGTGTGGTTCACAGGACACAGCTGCCGTGTGTTTTTGCCTTTTTTTTGTTATTTACTGCATTTTCAGTAGGAAAGAAAGACAACATGAGTTTTGACACAGGCCATAATTGGAATCATGTGTTGTCTGTTTTTCCTCTCTGTCCTGTTTGCATACTTTCCGTCTCATTCAGTAGTTATGGTATAGTTTGTTTCATCACCCTTTAATAAATAATAAAACATAAATAAAATAAAACATTTCATGTTTCCATACATTTGTTGACAGCATATTTTTATTTGGTGACAGCATACATTGTTCTATATTGATTTCAACATCTGTAGATATAATCGCTTGCTGTGTCTAAGTAATTAATTTCATATGGTATTGCAGTGACATAGTTTCCTTGTTATGTTAGCTCATTTTATGGGCTTTCCCAAGAAGCTATAAATAAGTGAATACTGGCAACATTAATTACAAGTGACCAATGTAGCCGATGCAAAGACAAAAGGAAAGCATGTTTTTAATTTCCAAATTGTATTGTTCTCATGACATGAGTTGTCAGAAATCTTTATATATAGTACACATGACAAATACACCTAATAAATACTGACATTAGATCTGCATAAATTGTGGCTTTGCTGCAGGGATACATAAAAGGCAAAATGATTTTTGAGCAAAAAAATCCCATGTGTGATGCTCCTCTCTTCGCACTGATAAGTGTTTTGCAATAAAGTGAAGGAAAGAAAGGCTCTTGTTTTTGGCATACAGGCAGGAGCTTATTTATACAGGTGGGATGAATACCTGAGAAAGCTGTTGAGCTCTTCACACCCATAGCTGTTGCAGCACTTCTTCTGACCATCATTACTCTCCACAAACATGGATCATAACATGCTCATATATGATACGTTATGGAACATATATGGACTTTAATGGCTGAAACAAAGTGAAGTATATAACACCATATAAAAGACTACAATAAGTTATTGCCATAATTGTATCCACAGCTGGGAAAATCAAATTGCAATCTGGCACATTCAAATAAAGTACAAAACAGGACATATAACTAATTATTAAGTGCAATGGTGTGTTTTGATGTGCTCAGTGATGAAAGTTAAGACAAGCAGTCTAGGAAAACAAGACGTCAGACAAAGGGCGATGGATTTTAATGGAGCAAAATGTTCTATATAAAAGCTAATAGTAGTATTGTAAAAGAGAGAGGAGACTGTAAAAAACAGTCGTGCAGGGCTATACATTCATCACAGGCTCATATGTGGTTTCATTAGCTGAATTCTTTCGTAAGTGACTTTTTAATGTATATGGCCGTTTACTGACATACTGTAGTATGTCCAATTCATGCAATTAAATTGAGGAGAAAACTCAAAACTGAAACTCCCTGAAAATACAACTTTGTGAATTTAGATTGTTGAAATTGCTGAGGATCAAAAACCAATAAACTATTCTGAATTCTATTTTATTTCTTATTCTTCTTTCACTAAGCACATGCACATCATTTGAATGTTGGCTGAGTGCTCACTCCTCATTTATCACTGTGTTATCATTCCTCTCTGTGAGTACTAAAACACTCGAGTCTACTCATTCTGTGCAAAGAATGCTGACACGCTGTTTTGGGTTAATGTGGCTTCTTTGTGTGTGGCACTGTTGATGAAGAACAATAACAGTAAGAACAACAGCAACACATGAAGCCGTAATGGTATCAACTTTTAACAGTGCAGCTACAATCACCATTAGTGGCTGTCCATGCTTGCTTTTACACTGGGAAAGAGGAACTACATTATCATTTTGATGTCATCCTGAAATATTGTTGCTCTGACCAAACCACATCCACAATACTAGGCTATATTTAAAGGAAATCAGCCTTGAAAAACAAAGAGGCGCTCATATGTTGCTCATACAGTAAGTGAACCAACAAGAAAGACAGAGGACGAGTATCTCAAGGCTGTTTCAGTTCCAGACATTTGTTGTTGTTGAGCTCACCATGAGGAAATGTAGTAAATGTACAACTTCCTTGTGGAGGCTCAGCTAGCAAATAGTAAACATGCAATAAACTTGGGGTATAGTCACTATACCTCTGATGCATAATAAACCATATAGCTAATGTGCATACACAGGAGCTGCACAACTAAATAAAGAAAAAAAGTAAAAGTAAATAGAATTTTTTTAATTATATGCACAATAGCAATGTTAATAATAATAATAATAATAATAATAATAATAATAATAATAATAAAATAATGAGCACCAAAATTTTAAGGACAAGAGCTTTAATTCCTAATTAATAAAGGTGCTTTGTTTGTGATGGGAAACAAACATATCACTGGGTATGACATAGTTACACAGGATATGAACATGAGCTAAAGCCGTAATGTTTTATATCCTCTCATGTATGAAGAGCATGTCCAGTCTGGTCCCTCTGCTGTGGTATCTGAATGCTGGGAATCTGAGACTGATGTATGCCTTCAGGTTCACAGTGACTATCTGTAGTCAGCAGAAACTGGCGGCAGTCAGAATAATAAAATGAGGACATGAAAGATTACGAAAAAGTGACGTTTTAGTAGATTATGCATGTTCATTAGGCCTTTAATGCATGTAGCCTTTTCTGTTTAATGCCCATATGTTGGCTATTAAATGATCATTAGTGGCACATTTAAACCAAACTGTAGGCCTAATCATTTCCATGCTTGGACAAAATCCTTAAATTACGAGGGTTATAAAAGATCTTGATGAACTTGAACCCACAGTAGCAAAACCACCAGTCTTGTTTTTCTCCATCCCCATGTCTCATCAGATCTTTCAGTCTGAGATAGGATTTAGCGCCCTCTGCAGATTATAGTCACGTATCAGTACTCCTCTCCATTAATCACTCTTTTATACTGATAGATAGTTTAAACAAAGATACTAAAGTAAACGGTCAAGTATTTTTATGTGCTGCAGTAACATTGGAGTCATGTTGCATTTCAGCAGTTTGAACACACAAAGTGGTTGAGCTAAACTTCAAGTATTTGTATTTAATACGGATGTACAATAATTAGAAATAAAATTACTGCAGCTAAATCATCATCACTGTTATTATCATTATTATTATTATTATTATTATTATTAGTCACTATTTAGTGTACGCTACATATAGATTCAAGACAGTGTCACATACAGTTGTTTTGAATTGTCCCAAAAAATTTTAACTAAATCTGACCACTAGAAAATTAAGTATACTGTGTGAACAGAGGGCAAAAAAATGATATTACGGCTTATGGTTATCTTCATTTCTCACTGTCAGTAGTCTGTTGATTGCTGTGTCGTATTTATATGCATTACATGGCGCGGCGCTTTATATTATCATTTTTGTTTGTTTGTTAATTAATTGTCGTTGTTTTTAAATATCCGTAGTCATATGTCTGGAGAACTACAAATGTGATCATTTCTTAGTTCTTTTCTAAATGATTCCCTGAAGCCGCTTTATTTTCAAAGTGTTTTCCGGAGGTCGCAGTATCCTGTGATGTTCGCACTGGTGGTAACTTGACTAACTAAGATATGGTGCAGTGCTTCACTGTGTCCACTAGATGGCGGCAAACATATTTCACCCATCGTCGAGATCAGGGCATTTAGAATACAGAGCGCTGTCTGCCCTCCAGTGGCCATAGTTAGGAACTACAACACACTAGTTAAAGCAGCATCAATGCAGTTAATTTGGGATTAAGATGTTTTTGGGAATCATTTCAAAATTAAATATCGGAAAGGAACGAATTAACGTGGGGAATGGTGTACAATAGTTTGATTATAATGCTTAAACAATTTATGGTCATCATCATCGCAATTTTAAAACTAGTTATACAATTTGACAAAAAAGAGACAAAGCAACAACAATAACAAATAAACAAGAAAAAAACCAATATACATTGGGTATCAGTTAAATTGGATTACAGAAAAAAGTGTCTAATTCCTGTTTTAAATTGTTGCACGTGTGGCATCATTTTAGTCCCACTGCATTTGTGAATGTAAACTTTTCTATATAAAATAAAGAGGCTCCAAATACTCTGCTTTTTTGCAATCAATATCATTCTTATTATTTAAAAAAAAGTCTCTTTTTTTCCTAAATAAATAATTGGACCAGTCAACCTCTTAAAGAAATATTCGAGATCTATCCAAAATAATTTTATATGTAGGCATTCATGAAATAAATGACAAATATTTTTAATTTCACAGTTACAAAACACACATTTACCATTAATTTCATCTCTAAATTTTGAGAGAACCTAGTTTACAGGATAAATCATATACATTTTATATGTGTATTTTCTTGTTTTGTTGGTGACACAATAGTTCTTGTTAAAATTCCAGACTGATTTCCATTTAATATTTTCAAATCTAGAGTTCCAAAAAAGCTTGGTAGGAGGAGTGGGCCCCTGGCAAAGTCTCCTGACATGACTAACCATCTAACATAAAGCTACATTTAAACTGCGGATTTAAAAAATGTTTCTAAACCATCAACTGGGATAATAATGCTTCATTATGGTAGTTAGACAGGTTTACATGAATCTTATCAATATAAAAATTGCAATGCAGTATGAATTCAATACCACATACTTTTTTTCAAAAATAAGTTCTGGAATAATGTACCATAGTTTAGCCTTGTCATTTTTGTCAATTCCCATCGATGCAGCGGTGCCATATCACCACTTCCGGTTGATACTTTCAAAATAAAACTAAAAGTGTAACGCACATGTATCACATTGCATGTTATTCTGTTGTGTTGAAGCGAAGCGTCAATACATCCTGTCACGACACTTCGACTTTAAAGGTCGATATGGTGGAGAGTAGTATTTAACATCACTACGCAACATTGGGGAGTCGTGAGTGGGTCAATCAGCGACGAACAGCAAACCACAACTTTAACAGGAAGACGGTTGCCATAGTTAACTCTGCTGGACAGCTAGTAGGATCCCTTTTGACAAGCTACAAGTTAGCTAACGGGCTAATTAGGCTGCTCTTCGGAGTTTTTCGCTCGCTGTGGTAAGTGTGGATACCGTTAGCTTATGAAGGAGCTAACGCTAATTAGCTTTTCATATTATGTTAACGGACCAATCATATTAATGTTGCTGTTGGTACAATGACGTGGTGTAACGGATGAGTTCGTGGAAAAGGAGACGCTAGCTGTTAGCTTGTGTTGGTAACTTTCTCATTAACATTAGCCTATTTTAGGCTAACTCACTGTAGCGACCTCATTTACACCAGATAAACCAAATCATATGACCGGAGTGAAACTCGATACCAATAACAGTCAAGAGAGAATGGCCAGTTTAATTACGTCTTTCTGAGTAATACAAAATAACTTTTGACTGTGGATAAGGTGACCTTAGTGTCTGCTCGTGTTTTTGTTTTCTTCCAGTATCTCAATGAGCATGAACGCACCGACAGCTCTTCCTGTTCCCCGTGACAGCTGTTAGAAAGACACGCGCCACATTGATAGCAATTCGGGAGAAAACGACGCGAAATAGAATAAGAAACAAAGCTGGAGATGTAATTACGATGACACTTCTTACTTTAATAGCCTAATCTGGCGAGGAAACAATACAGCAGGTAGAAAATGACAGGTCCAGTTTGCTAATTTTAGTGAAATAATCTGTAAAATCATGTTCCACGCGATTGATTATATGTTAATTGCGTGTAACTAACAGATTGCATGGAAATTATGTTTAATGCAATTTGCCATCTGCAACTAGTTGTGTAAAAGTGTGAGTCAAAGTCAATTAAGCAGTAAAGTATACAAATAACCTTTAGCCTCATGTGTGACAGTCTGCCCTCTCACCCTGTTCATGTGTTTGCCTCATTGTTAGTGCTGTAGATGTGAAGTGTCAGTCCATGTGTGCATGGATACAGCAAAATTTAAATAAAGCTAATTGTAAGTCTTGTTTCAGAGGGAATGGAGAAAGCTAAACAAGATGCATTCGACAATGCCAGACTTCAAGTGATCAAAGATGGCTACGAGAGGGCCTTTGAGTGCATCAATAAAGCACTCACAGCAGATGAAGCTGGAGACAAGGCACAGGCCGTTGAGCTCTACAAGCGAGGGCGGCAGCACCTTCTCAGGGCCATCAGTGTGCCTTCACACGGGGATGAGTGTGGTGGCAGCTCCTGGGAATCAGCCAGACAGATGCAGCACAAGATGCAGGAGACACTGAACAACATCACCACTCGCCTGGCCATACTGGAGACCAGCTCTGACATTGGATCTGCACCTACATTGAGCACTAGCAGTGTGTATGGCTCCGATGCTGCAGACACATCTAAAGGAGGTCTCTACCCAAAACTTGCCACCAAAAACAAGCCAGAGAGGCCAGCTAATCCAAACCTACTTTCTGCCAATGGCCAGGCAGCAGGAGCGGTAGGAGGCATGCCTGCATGCAGTAGTGGAGGTCTACCTCTCTCACCAACCAGACAGCCTGTGCCTCCAGCCATACAGCCTCCAGCTTACTCTCCCCAGGCAGCTGACGGCCATCTGTCTATCTCATATGGGACAGAATCAGGGGAAATGTCATTAGTTGGGGATGAGTTCTACAGTCGTACATCTAACTCAACACCATCTCCCCAGAGTATGGGTGAAGACGGAGAGGAGCTGGTGTATATTCCTCATGGTGTACAGATATTCTTTGTCACACCTGAGGGGCAGGTGAGCGCTCCGTCGTACCCAGGCTACCTGCGACTGGTGAAGTTTACCAGTGACCATTCTGACAGTATGCCCAACAGACCACCAGCATTTCTGCAGGTAAGATAAAATAATTTTTTTTTTTTTTTAAAGATATTTTTTGGGCATTTTTAGCCTTTATTTGACAGGACAGACAAGCATGAAGGGGGGAGAGAGAGAGGGAGTGACATGCAGCAAAGGGTCACAGGCTGGAGTCGAACCTGGGCCGCTGCGGCAACAGCCTTGTACATGGGGTGCCTGCTCTACCACTAAGTCACCGACGCCCCACAAAATAAATATTTCGGCAGTTGTTTCAGAACACTTAAACGCTTCCTGGTATAAAGCTTGAAAGGACTAGATAAGCCTCCGTCATGCCCATCTGATGCAATAAGTGCAAGTGAGTCACCACTGCAGTGTCACCAGTCTTTCTTGTGCTCTTTAACCTGATTTTGTAAGATGTTTGCTTGGCTCATCAAGACCTCTTTTGACTGTGTGAGTCAGCAGGAGGAGATAGGCTTGTTAATCATCTCTATCCCTCACTCTATGAACGTGATCATGTGAGCGTTGTTTACTTAGTGCCCTAAGCCCAATGGGTTTATGAATATGTCATCCTCCTGGGAAATCCCACATCAGGATCATTACTGGCCAAAATTTGGATATAGATGGTATCTCACTCATGACCTACTGGACAAAAACTTCTTTAACATTTAGAAAACATGAAGCTTTGCAAACATATCAGCTTAGGCTTTCATAAAAGACTTAAATCAAAACCTTATCTAATTTATTGAGCTCTGTTTTGAGCAATTTGTATTGTTTTATGGGGGGCAGTATTTACCCTGCTGATAAAACAGCCAGCACACTAACAGTAGAGGATCATAAGACTGAAATTTGACTCTTCATTGGGGAATTTCCCAGGTACTATTGCCAGGGGGTGACATCAGGGATTCACATGAGTGCAAGTAATTATCTAAGCCCTGCTTACACTGTTATGCCCTATAATCTTGTTAGACATGCAGCCATCAGAGGGAGACAGTGTCCTCTGGTTTGTCTTCTCTCAGACCGTTCACTGTGCCGCACTAATCAGAGTCACCATTAGACATGTTAGGCTTGTCATTTTGAGGTTATATTTGGAACCCTATACTTTGGCAAGATGTCTTTGCCAAGCTCTCTTCCCCTCGTACCTTTGACTTCATGTAAATTCAGTTTTTCTTGTACTTTCTGTGTATTTGGGCACATTGCTCAGAAATAAATTGGAAATTTGAGGCTGATAGACTTAGTCATGACATCATACATAAAGTTATTTATCATCAAATTTTCTTTTCTTTCTGTTATTTTGCTTCCTAACAGGTATGTGACTGGCTGTACCCTCTCATGGCCATGGACTCTCCAGTGTTGCTGTGTAACACTGGTGTGTTTATGTTTCCGGACATGATGGCGCCAGCTCCAGGCTATTATGTGGGGGTGGTGTTGTCCTCTGAGCTGCCTGCTGAAGACAGAGAGATGTTCCAGGACCTGCTGTCTCAGATGACAGATCTCAGGGTGCAGGTCAGTGTTGCTGTGCAGTCAGACCTGCGATAGCACAACACATGTTTCGGCTCTCTTTGGGTGAAAAATGCAAATGGGGCCAGTATGTTTAAACAATATATGAAAAAGGTCATCTGCAGCTCAATGCCATGTATTTTTATGTTGTTTTTCTCACTGACCAAAAGCTCAGAGAAATTGTTGTCTGAAATGTATTTGTACTTGTTTTCACATCAAAATATGTTCACATCAGAAGTTTTTGAATTCACCAAAGAATTGTTACACAATGCCTTTTGGCAAATCCTCTTGTGCCAGTGAGAGTACAGAGAGCTATTTTAGGCAAATGAGACTGAAGTTGGCGCTCTGCTGCTATTGGTAGTTGCAGGCATGTGACAGTGGCTGCATCTTCATTTTGCATACTCTTTGAAAGCTGAGATCCCACTCATCAGTCTAATAATGCCTGAGCTTCAGCTGCTAATGTTAACTGAATAAATCAGCGTTTCCCATACAGACCATCTATTTGGGTCAGGGTCATTGCCTAAATAGATTTGTCCTCACACTTAAAAATATTTCTTTGTTGATAAATTCTGTGTTGAAATACAGTTGAAAGTGCAGACTGAAATAAAAAAAGTGCACTAAATGGTGCAACTGTTAGTTAGCTTTTGATTTCATTGCTGTTTGGCAGTCCCTAAACACTCCCTTCCAGTCATCACGAACAAATTCTGCAAACGTAGCACACACTGCAGATATTAAATCTGTTCCTCCCATGAAAAAGATTGTAGTTACTGCTTATACAGTGCTTTGAGGGCTAACAAGCTTTAAACTTTTTCATTGTTTTAGCCTGACATGAAACTCTTGCTCCTGCTTACTTCTGAGCTGGCACACTTCTCTGAGTTACCCCTACCTCAGCATTGTAGGGATTTGAGACAGGCAGGTGAGGAGAATTAATCAGTTATAATGCTCTTATCTGCAGCCGTTAGAACAACCTCAGAGTTTCAGCTGAAAGACAAATGCCAGTTCAGCCGTGATGGAGGTAGAGACGCTGGCTCAGATCGATGCCAAACAAGGTCATTTTTGATGTATGCAGTCAGGCTACTTATCTTTTCTGATGGACGTGATTCCCAAACAGCAAGTAGGCACTTTTGTGTTTTCATTTTTGGGTCAAGTAGAAAATTTGAGGTTTTCAGCATAAAGGGAAACTGTTTTCTGACTGCAGAGAGACATTTTAAAATGGCAATCTCTGTGCTGCAGACAAATAGTGCATTGTAACCAGAAGCACAGAATAATAAGGGGAGCTATTGTGTGAATTGGGGGGTTATTCGGAGACGGCATCTGAATGGAGATGTGTACAGCTTGCACAAAGTAGCAGACAAGTTGTCTAAAGATCTGACTGACATGTAGTTCTTATTTTCAGCCCACATTGCTCATCCATATGTTACAGTAGTTAACCAATGTGTCTATATGGTCAGGCTCCAGATGAAGCTGCAGGCACCATTAATCTCAGTCAGAAGGTGTCCATTACTACACCTGAGGAGACTGCACCAGCAGAAACCGAGGAGGAAAAGGCTTTGCCTGAGTGGAGTGAAAAGGTGGCAAATGGGATCCTGACAGGTGAGGTCAGATTACACCTTCCCTCAAAAATAGCATTGTGCTGTAGTTGTTAGCAATTCGTTAGGAAAGACTAAAGATCCTGTTGTCCTCTCAGGTGCATCATGGCTAAGCTGGGGCCTCGTCAAAGGAGCTGAGTTCACAGGCAAAGCCATTCACAAAGGTGCATCAAAACTCAGAGAACACATTACCCCAGAGGACAAACCCACCCACGTCAGCCCCACAGTCACCAAAGGCCTCCATGTAGCCAAGCAAGCGACAGGGGGAGCTGTCAAAGTCAGCCAGTTTCTAGGTGACTAAGCCATCGGCATCAGCATGTTTTACTGACCTTGTGTGGTTATTTGGCAGTGGACCTCTAATTGACTAATACTGTGTTACCGCAGTGGACGGGGTATGTGCGGTCGCTGGCTGTGTGGGTCGAGAGTTGGCACCACACGTGAAGAAACATGGAGGCAAGCTGTTCCCAGAATCTATGAAGAAAGACAAGGATGGGCGTTCCAACATAGATGGAGCCATGGTGGTGGCTGCCAGTGGAGTGCAAGGTAGAGTGCATCTACACTTAATATTCTTTAAGAGGAAGGTGTTAATAAAATGAGAACTAAAATGTGCCTAACATGCTTTGTATTTTGTGCATTTGCTCAGGATTTGCAACCATGTGGACTGGTTTGGAAGTAGCAGCCAAGAACATTACTACAAGTGTAGCGTCAGAGACAGTCACCACTGTAAAACATAAGTAAGTCTTTCCTTTCCATTTAAAATTACTTGTTTGACCACTCACTTGCTTTAATTAAAAGCAAAGCAATTTGTTGCTCAACACTGACTGCTTTTTAAACATGTATGTTGCAAATGACCACTTGCATTATACATGCAAAAACAAACATGCTCTCACTTATTTTCCTGTTTAATTTGCTTTGCAGATTTAGGGGTCTACAAAACATCTTTGACCCACCCGTTGAGAATAAGTGTAATTTTTCATAATTATTCACAGCTGTTTAACTCTTCTCTCCACTAATCACAAGCATGATAAAAAACCTCTTTCTTGGAATAATTTGACTCTTGTACAAAGCGCTCTAAAGTCATCTATGCTGTGCCAGTTCACTGCCCTTCCCTGTGTGGCAATTCACATGATGGTGCTGCTTTTCACTGAACTCTCCAAATGTTTCTAATGGAAATTTCACAATTAGCAACTTGTCTGTCCTGTCTGATTTAAAAATATTCCCCATATTTTATGAATTGGTGCTTCATGGTCCAATGATGAGCAAAGTATCTACACAATAAAGTTGATAGTTGATTTTTATAAGGTTGGATGATACGTTATGCCTCACCCAGTTTCTCCTTTTTAAGTGAAGTACTTGATTTGACAGGTATTTAAATAACTGCATTAGCCAAAAACAAACACTCTCATCCTTGTATCATCATCTGCTTTCAAATTCAATTTGATACATTGATATTCTGGAAAAAAAATATACACCATGATTGACAATTATATCTATATTGCCCACCCTTCCTTTACTGAACCACAGTGGGAAAATGATTAAAATTCAGATTCTTGCAGACAGAAATTTCTTAATTCAAGATTGTGCACTTGCATGCATGAAATCCTCCCATTAAAATTCACATACAGCATGGCAACTTTGCAATCCTTGCACTGCATATTAATTAATTCTCCCCAAATCCTTGTTTCTCGCCTCTCGCTCTGAACTCTCTCATCAATGTGACTTCTGATGAAGGTACGGAGCAGCAGCAGGACAAGCCACAGACCACGCTGTCAATTCTGCCATTAATGTTGGTCTCACTGCCTTCAATGTTGACAACCTGGGGATCAAAGCTGTGGTGAAAAGAACTGGCAAGCACACCGCGCAGGCCATTTTGGAGGACTACAAGCTTCATGAAACACCAGAGAACGGGAAGCAAGTGGAGAAATCAAACAAATAGCTGTTAGTGCCCTGCCTACATTCCCACGGAATGCCTTAAAGCATAATTTGTATTCTTCTATCAAATAAATCTATATTTAATATTCATTATTTATAGAACATCTTCTATATTTACAAATTAACTACTGTTCTATGCATATCCTGTAGTTTGATACAGATCTTAAGCACTTTAATCTTTATGTAAAACAAGGTAGATGGACCTAAATGAGAAGAAACTGCAGATTATCTAACCAAAATTAAAACATAGTTATAAAGTATGATATACAATACACAGTGTAACATTCAGGTATTATCATTTCATGTGCAAGATCCCAGTTTAACTCTTCTTTGTACTAAGACAGCATTAAATTGTTGACTAGACACTGGACCCTTTCCTAATCTTTGTGAAACATTTGTGTGTTAGAGTTCTCCTGGTAGGGAAAGTGCAATTTCTGTACTTTGAATGAATGATCCAAAATATTATCTGTGTGTCAGTATGTTCAGTTCTTTAGATATCACTGTTTCAGAAAAAAAGTGTCTGTTATACTGTTGTTTTTTTCCCTACTGTGTTTAAAATGAGAAGTAATCACTGCTGCTTACTGTGCCTGCAAAATATCAGATGGTGTACAAATATCGAATGTGTTGTGAAAGTGAAGCTGTAAAAATATGCGGTCTGTTATGTATTTTTGTCAGTAAGACAGTTTTTGCCGTCTCTCATGAATGAGGGGTTCTAAAATGTTAATGTCCCCCACCTGCACATCTGCAGAGTCTAAAACTATCAGACTTATTAGACTGGTGTTCTGCCACAATGTGCAGTGTTTTTTTCTGCATTTCAGCTTAGTTGTATCCAAGTATTTTTTAGATGTCAGTGTTTATAGTGTGTTTCTTATAAAAATCTAGATTTTATTTGGTGGACAAAATGTGAAATTTGAAGTGTAATGCTAACTTTGCTTGCAACTCAGTTGGTTTGTGCAGTGATCTGGTTTGTAATCTTTTTAAACTCAAGCTTTAAGACCTAAGACCTCAGCAGGCAAATGTAACTGTCAGATGACTTAAATACTCCAGTTGTGCATTGAGATTTCTTTCACACCAGAAATACTGAGAATTTTCTGAAAAAATAAAATAAAATATATAAAGAAGCAAGAAATTCTGCATTTTTATACTTTAAGATCTGGGGATTTCTGGCTATCTATCCACTATTAATCTTGTAGAAGCTATGTTGAATCTATCAGCTTAATACCTCCATCTAGTGGCTGCATGTTTTACAACATGTTAATGTATTGAGTATTTTTTATAGCATCATACTGATGATTTAGTCTGGAAATATTTCTCATAAAAGGAATAAAAAAAGGAAAGTCTATTTCTTACATTTCTTGTCCACCCAGGGTTGGTGTAATTGCTTGGGGCCAAGTGTGAAATAGAACCCAGTGTTAAATACTCTTGACTAAAATTTCAGGAATTCAGAATACAAAGTATTTGAGGTAGAATTCATAAATGTTTTTCTAAATTACTCCATTTATTTTTTTTATTTTTATTTTTTAACTGCAAGACAAAACAGTCCTCCAATGGCTTCCCAGTTATGTAACACAAATAATCCACTTACATAGATTGGCTATTTTCTAAAAGTCACATGGAAAATACAAGAAAATATGACTGATCTGCTTTATTAACCTCAGAAATTGAAGTGATGTACAATTCTTACAATGTTGTGTTGAAAAAAGATGCAATTTAAATGATCTGAAATGCCATCTTTAGGTATTAAACAAAAACCATGGAAAAACTGCCTGCACTTTTACTCAAAAATGCATTTATTGGGGTGTGTGTACTATGTTACACACAGACCTCATGAAGTTTGTCACTGTGAAATAACTAATTTTTTGGCCATTGTGATGACCCGCAGTATATAGACATGTATAAATAAAACAAAGAAAGACCATTATCTGCATCCATTTCTCTAATATTTGGCCAATCAAAACTGCTATCATCTGCGATGTCTCTAACCATATAGTTAGTTGGACCCTGTGTAAGGTGAAAGAACAATGTTCACAAGATGAGCATCAGGGAAACACAGGTTACCATTAGTATCCAACAGCAAATCCAGCCATGATGGATTGTCCACACCGTATGGACTGTCTGTCAAAGAGCTACTACTACAAAGATTATTTTCCTGAAGGAGCCCTGAATCACACAGAGTGTCTGACACTGGCAGATATCCAGCCTCAGGTATCAAGTTATCAGAACTTAAAGTTGCACTTTGAAACACAGAAAATGGGATGAGTGGTTGGTTTGTAAAATCTCCCGCTGAAACACTGTCAGTTGGGCCAGCCAGAGATGAACTGAACTGGCCTTGTTCTACTAAGGGTACAATGAAGTTTGTTATCGTAGTCTGTTCAGGTGGGCTGTAGGCTTGGCCAAAATTCACTGATGGGAGAGCAACAGGATCCACCAGGTCAGGAGTGGCATCCCAAAACATAGGGCTTGAAGAGGGCTGTAGTCCTATCTGTGGTAAAAAAGTGTGGCTCATCATTGCTGATGTGAAAGCACATGGGGTCGGGTTCATCCAGTCATTTTCCGCTGGCTCAAAAGAGGCAGAGAGAAATTGATCCCGGCACACTGGCAGCATTTGTCCTCGGGGAACGGCCGATTTGTCCAACAGTATCGGCAGGGCATGTGCTGTGGTAAGGCCGTCAGCTGGAGGAAGCATTTGATCAATTGTCAGAGGATTGGTTATAGTGCTAGATGGACGATCTACTTGTTTACAGATCTTTTGCTGAGTGTATCTTCTTGAAACATGATCTGAAATGAAATTATGTGTTAACAAACCCACACTGCAGGAAAGATTCTCAAACAATGCAATTCATTTATTTGACAACTGTTATCCCAGGCTTGCAAGGCATAGTCAATACAACTGCATCAACAGACACGAAATGCAATAAAGTAAATAAATATTCATACCCTCTGTGGACTTCTTAGCAGCTGGCTTTGCTCTCTGCAAAGAATTCTTCTTTAGCCTGACTGTTCTTCTGTGGGGAAAAAAAATATTTCACTCTCAGCACTGTTGTCATTAAAAACTTGAAAGCTAAAAATGAACTTCCTCAATCTTAATAAATCTATGACAGTTTGTACCGTTTCTGCTGTGGCTTTTCTTTGTTTTTCCATGAACCACTCACATCGGCCTCAACTGCTTCATTAACCTGTGAAAAACAATTAAGTCATGAAACCAATCACAGCATAAGATTTCCATGCAACTAAAAGGCTGCAGACCTACTTTAGACAGAATGCCTGGCGGCAGAGTCTCCTTCAGGTAGCTAATGTACCTCGCTGTGAGCTCTAGTGTGGTTGCTGTGTCTAACTGACCATTGAGGAAGGGCAGAAGGTCACACAGGCGTCGACAAGAGGTTCTGATTTGAAGCCTGGGAGAATATTACCAGAGAATTTATAAATATGGACAGTAAACATGATCCACATATTATTGTTGGTACAGTGTCACTAATCAATAAAATATCTCCAAAATAGGATCAAGTCCCACACAGTAACATAACACAATGTACATGATAGACATGATGTTTGAACAGAAAACTTTTAGCAAAAACCACCATGCAGTTGCTTTGATAGCACAATCTGGAATCGATTAAATCAAACCTCCGTTTCTGTTCCTTGCAAGAATGAAGAGAAGCCTGGAGCCCCCTTTCCTTTTTAGAAGAGGGGTAACGTTTCCCTCTTGTAGGCTCATCTTTAAGATCATCCCTGCACCTGAGGGCAAGCAACAGTTTGTTTACGCAGTAAGGTTAAAACAAGTGAAGATGTTCTGAGCTCTCCTCTGTCAAGTCAATACTTTTTGTATATATAAATAAAATATCAGAAACCTGCCTCTGTGGTTTTACAATCTGGACAGCATAGGGCACCTTCTATCCATGGATGGATCAGTAATCAATCCAACAGAATGTCACTTAAATTAACGTACCAACCATGAAGAGACCACAAAATGACCATAAGAAAAACACAAAAAGACCACAAATACCCCTTTTCCACCACATTAGCTCTGGTTCTTGAACCTGTTCTGTTCAGGATACTAATAACCTTGGCTCTATCTGGGGAACCAACCTGCTTTTCCACCAGTTTTGCATGGAACCATCTTAATCAAGGATGTGTCAGCAACAGAGGGCGTTGCAGTGTGCAAAACATAAATAAAAGTAGTAGCAAATCAGAGCAGATTACATCCATTATCTGCAAACTTTTGTTCTGTTATTACAGATATTTGTTTTTACCCAAAACCCGTTGGGTAGCGTAGTGGATAGTGCCGGCGCCCCATGTACAGAGGCATCACCTCGCTGCAGCGGTCGCGGGTTCGAGTCTGGCCTGCGACCCTTTGCTGCATGTCAGTCCCCGCCTTCTCTCTCTGTCTACCCATTTCACACACTGTCCTATCCATTAAAGTCAAAAGCCCAGAAAAATAATCTTAAAAAAAATGCTCTGAATGGTTCAAAATTAGGTGCAGGTGTTGGTAAAAAAAGGGGTTAAAGAGATGCAAATGAACTGAAAAGCAACACAAAATGACTACAAAATGGACAAGTCAACCACAGAGAGACGCAAAATGACAAAAGATGCATAACAACTACAAAAACATGCAAAACGACAACAACAAAAGGAAGAAAAGAAACCACAAGGTCTGTGTGTCTTGCTCCCATGTAGGAAAGGTCTATCCCTGATCAGGTGCTGATGCTTTGTGTTATTGGAATGATTTGCTCCCAGGTTTGTCTACAAATAAATGTAGTCATGCCCTTATCCTGCTTTAATTTGATGAGCATTGAAGGTGCTACTACTAAGGTCAAAGTCACATATACTGTACACTATCCCCTAAAAACTCCTGAGCATGGGCTCACAAGCTTTTATGGTAGATATTTACAGATATCTAGACTTCATCACCACACTCTATGGAGGAACAAAAATGAAAACAGATTAATGTTCCTCTAAAACTTTAAGAAGGGCTAGTAGTGGTTAAAGTAGGAGGAAACGTAAGTCAACTTCTCAACAAGTTACATGTGTGTCCAATAAGATATTTTAGTTGGACAGCCTGATCAGCAATCTGTGACTTTTTGAAAATAACCTTCAAAATTTTGAGGATAAATACATTACGCCTCCAGCAGGCCAGCTGGACAAAAGCCCTGTGTAATAAAGTAAGTGTTTGTATCAGTTGGTTGAACAAACTCAAAAACGCTGATAGCCATAAAAGTGTGTCCTAGACCCACTCCCACATCTCAAGCATTCATCCAACATGTGGGCTTATGGAAGTTAAGACAGTCTGCTATGAAGATTTTGATTGAAAAACACGTGCAAATTACCCATTAGATGGTCGTCTGCTCATACTTAAGTGATATTTATTAGTTCACGTGTGAAATACGCTCCTCAAACGGTCATCATGCTTATCCACGCGCGTGGTGACTGAACCAATTAAAGATATACATCACCTACACCTGTGTGGGCTGGGCAGGCCGCACGCGGAACCACGCGCACATTATATTTGTAGTGCTTTGTTAGCACAGCACCTGCCAGCCAACCAGAAACGACTGCAGCGACACATGTAGGTTAATTAAACGCATTTTTGTGCTAATTAGTGGAAAGCGATAACTGGGTTTGTATTTTATTAAATAAATATCACTGGTATGAGGTTATTTTAGCAGGTCAACGTGAACGCGCATCATTTAGCCCAAAGCCGCACACAGGTTTCTGTGAGAGCGCGCTCTGACAGCGACGTGCACGCGGAGCGCTGACACACCAGCGGTCCGATGTAAATCACTGCAATGGCAGAGGAGTAGGGGCGGGTGGAGGAGACCGGCTTCAGCCCTACCTCCTCTCTGCATGCGAGCACACACGGCAGAGTAGACACACGGCAGGCAGGCAGGAAGACGGAGCACCATCACAGGGGCAACAAAGGGACGCATGGTTCATCCAAGGCATCAAATGACTAAATGATACATTGAGACAAGTTCTGCATACAGAAAAACGTTTGATTGCATCCGTCCTCACCTCAAAGGTAAGACTGCACCAGAACAAACAAACCCATATGTGCCATACCGTGTTCTTGCTATATTTATGTATTTATTGTTGACCTATAACAATAGGCTTTCAGACAAGATCTCTTGCCAGGCTTATACTGTTTATGTTGTACTACATGTGTTGGATAAATGCATGTGAATTTCATTGCTGTATAGACTGAATTGAGAAACACCAGGGAGCCCGAAATGGGTGTGACATGCCTACTTCATAATATGTGTAGGAGCAGCAGCAGCAGCAGCAGCAGCATCAAAACTTGTATCAGTGCTGTATCAGGAGTGTAAGCAAAATGACAGAGAGCCTAATTGCAGTACTGTATTTTATATAAGTTGAATTTAAATAGCTAATTAAAACTGTAAGCATTCTTCTTATGTTATTTAGGGTGTAATAGCACTGCACAGTCATGGAGCTGGAGCACTTTGATGAGCGGGACAAGGCTCAGAGATATACCCGAAGGGGCTCAAGAGGGAATGGGCTTCCCAGTCCCACTCACAGCGCTCACTGCAGCCTGTACAGAACCAGGACACTGCAAGCATTGACTTCAGAGAAGAAGGCCAAGAAGATCCGTTTCTACCGCAATGGGGACCGCTACTTCAAAGGGATTGTGTATGCCATTTCTCAGGACAGATTTAGGTCTATCGAAGCACTCCTGGCTGACCTCACAAGAGCCCTGTCAGATAATGTCAACTTGCCACAGGGGGTACGAACCATATATACTATTGATGGGATAACAAAGATCACTGCCATGGACCAGTTGGTGGAAGGTGAGTAGTGATGCTGAATTGTTGTGTTCCCACAGATTTAGTTTATATTGAGCAATGTAAGATCAATTAACCTAAGTCACACAGTGGATGCAGATAAACACAAAATGCAAGACTTCCCAAGTCTTGTTGAGCAGAATTAGCCAGTATTATGTGACCATGTGATCTTTGCTTTTGTATCTTCAATGTATGTCTTAGCCTTTGTTTGTGGGTAAAATAAAACATCTCTTAATGTGCCTTGATTTTCTGCAGGGGAGAGCTATGTTTGTGCATCCATAGAACCCTACAAGAAGCTGGACTACACGAAGAATGTGAATCCCAACTGGGCAGTTGGTGCTAGGACTGCTGTGTCCATCCGTGACCCTTCTTCCCTTGGTAGTGCCAAGACTGGAGCCTTAGAAACCAGGGAGACCAAGGACTTTATTAGACCCAAACTGGTAACCATTGTCCGCAGTGGAGTAAAGCCCCGCAAGGCCGTACGGATCTTGCTCAACAAGAAGACTGCACACTCCTTTGAGCAAGTCATGACTGACATCACAGATGCCATCAAGCTGGACTCTGGAGTCGTCAAAAGGATATATACTGTTGACGGCAAGATGGTAGGTGTTACGTTATCATTTTCAGTGGTGATTCTGTGTTTTTCCAATTAGGGTACACTGGAGAAAATTACATTTTGGTAATGGATAGATTAAGTAATGTGTTTATTTTTGTGGTTTATTTTGATATAATTTTGAAGTCCTAAAACCTTTTTTTCTGTTAAACAGGCCCAAACTGTCTAGAATAAGAATATAATACATTTTGGTGAATGTGGTGACATATTAGGTATCTGTGCAATGCTGCTGTCTTAGTACACAGCCCATATTTAGTTTTAGAGCTGCAGCATATATGTATAAATATATGATATAGTGTATATCAGTTATTTAAAGGGGGACATGCCCATTTTCAGAATTCATACAATTATTCCCATCGTTTAAGACGGTATTTTGCATAACATGAACAATTCTCTCCCAAATCCAAAAACCAGACTGCTAAAATTTAAATTTGTGATGTCATA